CTTTGACCCCGGCCGGGGATGGGCCAGCCACAGCTTCTCTGGGCACCCTGTGCCAGAGTCTCAGCACTCTCACAGGAAAGAGCTTCTGCCCAAGAGCTCATCTCAGTCTCCCCTCTGGCAGGTTAAAGCCATTCCCCTTGGCCTGTCCCTGCTGGCCCTTGTCCAAAGCCCCTCTCCAGGTTTCCTGTAAGCCCTCTTTGTCAATGAAAGAACTTCCCAGAGGCACAGAAGGACATAAACACTTCCACCCTCTGCCTTACACAAGTGCCCCACTTCAGGCACGTGTTTGGGTGCTGAGGAGACGGAATGCATTTAAAATATCATCCCCATCTCATGCTGGATTACAGGCTCTTACCTCTGGGCAGTGCAGGAAGAGGAGGTGCAGCAGCTCCAAGCACTGCCCCACAGCCTCGGGCTCGGGCAGTGTGAGGGTAGGCAGCAGGAGGGGCAGGGCCGGCTGGCGGTGCCAGCGGCCCCTTCACTGCTATATTGCACACAACTGTCAGGACCTGGGTGGAGAAACCATGCCAGGGAGGGAACGGTGAATGTGCTTTTTTAGTGGGCAGGTTCCTGACAGGCTTAGGAGCCTGTCCACCACCCACCCCTGGAACCAGGGCCCCCAAAAGCTTTAGGGTCTTCCAAAAGAAGGTGGCAGCAGCCTCCCCAAGCTTACTGTAGGTGCTGGCAGGGCCTGGCCCCAAGTTAACATCTGCCTTGGGACCCCTCTTCTGCCAGGACAAGACTCTGCCAAAGGTACACATGGATGTAATGACCTCAGGGGAGGCAGATGGTGACTACCACAACACAAGACCTTCTGCCAAGCTATCGCTATCACCCGAAGCCAACCTCCAACTGGAGCACCTAATGTACGGGATTTATATTCATAGGATCCCAGACTGGTTTGGTTTGGAAGGGACCTTAAAGCTCATCCAGTTCCAACCTCCTGCCATGGGCAGGGACACCTTCCACTAGAACAGGTTGCTCCAAGCCCCTGTGTCCAGCCTGGCCCTGAACACTGCCAGGGATGGGGCAGCCACAGCTTTTTGAGGTTCCTGAAAGTCCAGCACTTTTCCTCCAGACCTGGGGCATGAGGCAAGGTCTTACCAACACAGTGGCCATCTGGGAACAGGGCAGGAGCTGCAGCAGGGCCGGGAGCAGGTCCAGGGAGAGCAGAGCAGAGCAGAAGAAGGGCTCATGGGCTGGGGTGGGCAGGGGAGGAACGTGTCAGTAAAACTGGGGTTCTGAGGGGGGGCTGTAGACAAGGCTGCCAGCAATTGAGGCAGGGCCCGGCAGCAGCTCTGGCTCTGCAGGACACTCACCTGTGAGGTTGTTCAGCAGCCAGAGACACTCCTGGGCGATGAAGGGGTGCCGCTGGAGGAAGCTCTGGAGGATGAGGAAGAGGGCGATGAGCAGGCGCTCATCCTGCACCTGCATTTCACAGCCTGTGTCCTCCGCGAGCAGGTTGCTGAGACACCGCAGCACCGGGCACACGAGCTGTGGCAGTGGGAACACAGAGCCCTTTACCCAACCATGTCCCCATAGCACTGCTGAGAATAGCCCATGCTCAGTGCCCTGCCCAGATCTTACCAGCTCCAGGCCCTCAGCACCATCTTGGGGGGGTTCAGAAGCCAGGTCGAGCACAACTGAGGTGAGGGCAGGCAAAGCCCCCAGCGACAGCAGAACTGTGTTGGCCGTTTGGCTGCGAAGGGAAGAAGCAACATGGGTGCTCTTGGTGCTCAGAGAGGGAGAATTACTGCAGCCCTGCATGACAACAGGGCCTCGAAATTCCAGAGCATTCTCCTGAACCACCACAGGGCTTGTTTCCTGTTTGAACAGCAGCTTGTGACTAAGTTTAAAAGCCCATGGAAAACAGAGCCACTGGAATTAACCTGTGTGGGTCTGGAAACAGCCCCAAACCTTTGAGCACCCACATGTTCCCTTCTGCTGGGGCTGCTGAAAGAGATGGCCCTGGAGCAGGTATGCCAAGGCAGGCAGCAGCCAGCCTGGCCGGGTGACAGTGGGCCAGCCCCAGAGCATGAGGATTCAGGGAGTGTGGGGGACAACTCCAGCCATGGGGAGATGATTTGTGGGGGTTCAGAGGACTAGGAACAGCCTCCTCAGGTTTATCACTTGTTAGGACCCTGTAAAGGAACTCTTATGATCCTGCAAACAGCACATGTGTGCTCAGATACACGAGTGGGAATGCCCCGGACAGCAGGGAAGTTGCTTTCTCAGGGAAAG